GGGGGGAGGCACAAAGTTCAATCCTAAAATAAACCTTTTCCCCCTTAACTAAGGCACTTTTTTTGTCGCGATCATTACTTTTTACTTTTTGCTCAAGGCGAATTACTTACAACAGCTCAGTGGATGCGAAGATTCGTGGAAAGTCACACGGACTACAAGAGAGACTCAATCGTCAGTGAGAGGATCTGTTACGATCTTTTGAGAAAAATTGATCTCATTGGCCAGGGAGAGGCTAAAGCCCCCGAACTCTTTGGAGAGTTCACTACTCCAAGGATAGGTGACGCTATATTTAAGAAGTATCTTGAAATGAAAAGGAAGATAAAAAACTTTGAAGATGACAGTACTATAGGAATGACAGCTTGATGAGATGCGATATTTTAAAACCAACTTGTTAATATTGTAAATATTACTAACAAAAATGAGTGCTTGGTTTATCTAGTGCAAACAAATCCTCGTTGTGCGCCGATAATCGATTTGTGTCAGGATCTAAGCAACGGCGCATCTACCCATCCCCTAATGAAACTCAACAATAACCCTAATCGTAATCTTTTGACTTTTGTTAGGCTAGGGGAGGGGGGAGTAGGTGCACCGTTCCTCAGTTACTCTCATTAATCGTTGTTATTATATGGCTGTGTCTCACAAGGACTAGGAACTCTTGAATTCACGAATTTCATTAGCTGAAATCAATATTGAAAGCGGTCTAGATTTTTCTATCTAGACCGGCATCTAGACCGGCATCTAGACCTGCATCTAGACCGGTCTAGAAAAAAAAAGTTACAAAGAATATAATATTCCATTGCTTTCTGGACACAGCCATATAATAAACATCTTACTAACCGAGTTAGGTCGGTCTGTCTGGGAGAATCTCGACCTTGGTCGCTGGTACAGACCTCACTGCGTTCGGTCTGTACTGGCGACCACGGTCAAGACTGTCCCATACAGACCTCCCGCTCGGTTAATAAGAACTAGTATTTACAGCTGAAAAGTGTTAACTCTCATAAAAATTAAGTGGACCGACGATGTATTACTCTACATCGAATGATAATATTCACAAGTTTATTAGACTGCCGTTTAAATCGTTTGCTGACAAATAATCATCTGAGACAAAATCGAGAGAGGTCACCTTCTTTTAAAGAATGCTTAACCAACTACTTTTTAAACGCATTTTGCATTATTAACCTTTGTTTTTGGCACGAAAATATTCCGGAAGGTGTTGTTAACGACACGAGATATATCAGTTGTATTTGTATTTACTTCTTTTTGTGAAGAAAATAAACAAAACGAAACAGAACCTGTAAAGGAAATAATAAACTTACTTTATTTTCCAGTAGGAGTTTTGAACTTATGGGTATCATTTGGTCGCAGATACACTTCTAGTTTACTTTTAGCCTTATCAACTTCATAAAATAGCTGGCAGCGCCCGTGGGCAATACGAAAGGAATCCTGTGTTATAATGGGATAACTGAGATGGGCCCATCTTGCCCGCTCGGGATTTCCGCTTTGATTCCGCGCAAGAAAAAGATTGTGAAGTGGACGTAAAAAAAAAAATTGTGACTTTTGGACAGTGTGGGCGATGAAGTCGAAAACAAAAAAGACACAGACGACCCTGTGAATTTATTTTGCAACAAATGAAGTTGGCTTTTTTTCCCGGCTCTCGAAATAAACAGGTCAAATTTTTTTGCTACAAAATTTTATTGACCAAGTGTGTGGTGAAGATGGCTGGTTATTAGCCTGAGTCTTTTTTTTGTGTGTGTTTTTACTGACCTCGACTTCGTCTCGGTTCATAAGACACAAAAAAGGAACTCGGCCAATATCCAGCCATTATCGCCTGGTTATAACGCATGTATTATATTGATAATATAATGAACATAGTATGCATTATCTGATCAGTCAATCCTTTTTCCAATCGGATGCTTTATCATGTTATAGAGCCAGCATATAACCAGTTAAGTCATAAAAACAACAGAACACAAATTTTTCCGAGTTTTGGGGAAGCTTAGAAATCACTTTCCTTTGGCTCGGGATTTTTAAGCCTTCCTCGTGCTCGCCTATCATCCCACATGGCTTTATCACGCTATAGAGCCCAGAAAAATGTGTTCTATTGTTTAAATATATATGCTCTCAACTAATAGATCACAGATGACGTCGCAATCTGGTAAGAACTGAGGAGTGGCACACGAGGCGCAGCTGAGTGTGTGATTAATGTTCGTGCTACATTCTAATGTCTTCTTTGATATATTTTTGTACAGAGCCACGGTAACATTGACCACTTTCAAAAATGGCTGCCAGATTAATATTCTTTTGTTTAAATTTGAATTAGCCTTTCTGGCCTCGCTTGAGATGATGTGTTCTTTTGAATTTTGTACTGGAAAACGAGGCCAGAAAGGCTAATTTAAATTTAAACAAAAGAATATTAATCCGGCAGCCATTTATGAAAGTGGTCAATGGAAACTGTCTTTATTTGTGGCGGTAAATTTGAGATCGAAGTAGGTGGTTCGCACCAAT